CCATGTGAAGACACAGAGGGGAGACACACAGAGAGGAGAACATCCTGGGAAGACAGATATGGAGACTGAGTGAGCACCCCGAAGCCAAGGAAGGTGATGGATAGCCAGCAGCCCCCAGAAACCAGAAGAGAGGCATGGATTATTCCTCACAGCCTGCAGAGGGACCAACCCTGCTGCCACCTTGACTTTGAACCTCTAGACTGCAGAACTGTGAGGTGAATTTTTTTGAACCATAAAGTTTGCGGTAATTCATTACAGTAGTCCTAAAACTAATGCGCTTAGTCAAATTCCATCACTTTTTTTTTTTTCATTAAGCCCTCTTTTGGTTGCTGTCGTAGGGCTGGAGAAACTCCCTTTCATTCTCCTAGGATCCCACCTAGGTTGCAGAGTTAAACTGACATAAGATTGATCATTGGGAGCCCTCATAAAGAAATGAAGATCCAATGAAGTACTTAGAGTCAGTTACTCATGCACTGAATTGGATCAAAAACGAGTTGTGAAGAAGCAATTAAATTACGTGAAGAGATTTAAAAGATACGTTTTTTTTTTTTGGAGACGGAGTCTCGCTCTGTCGCCCAGGCTGGAGTGCAGTGGCGAGATCTCGGCTCACTGCAAGCTCCGCCCCCCGGGTTCACGCCATTCTCCTGCCTCAGCCTCCCGAGTAGCTGGGACTACAGGCGCCGCCACCTCGCCCGGCTAGTTTTTTGTATTTTTTAGTAGAGATGGGGTTTCACCGTGTTAGTTAGCCAGGATGGTCTCGATCTCCTGACCTCCTGATCCGCCCGTCTCGGCCTCCCAAAGTGCTGGGATTACAGGCTAAAAGATAAGTTATTTTTAACAAGGTCTGTACAGAATCCTCTTTCAACTTCTCTTCCTTGCAGATAGGGAAGGGCATCTTTCCCATAGAAATTACATCTTCCACTTTATCATTATTATGATTATTATTATTATTTTGAGATGGAGTCTCTCTCTTTCACCCAGGCTAAAGTGCAGTGGTGCTATCTCCGCTCACTGCAAGCTTCGCCTCCCGGGTTCATGCCATTCTCCTACCTCAGCCTCCTGAGTAGCTGGGACTACAGGCACCCGCCACCGCGCCGGCTAATTTTTTGTATATTTAGTACGGATAGGGTTTCACCGTGTTAGCCAGGATGGTCTCGATCTCCTGACCTCATGATCCACCTGCCTCAGCCTCCCAAAATGCTGGGATTACAGGCATGAGCCACCGTGCCTGGCCATCTTCTACTTTTAAGAAATAACAGGAGGGTCAAAGTGATTGTTTCTCACTTGCTGTTTTTCAAGTATCTTTAACTTAAATAGTCAGTATACTAGATTAGCATACTTTAACCCCTTCATTTCTCTCATCTGGAACTTCCCAGGACGTTTCATGTATTAAAAGTTAAGTTGATGGCTGTGGAGAGCAGAATCAGGTTAGTAACTGAATGGCAAGAGACCTATAAAGGAAAACAGGAATATAAATAGGAACAGGAAAGACATAAGTCTACTATATAGTCCCATTTTTTTTTCTTTTTTCTTTTTCTTTTTTTTTTTTTGAGACGGAGTCTCACTCTGTCACCGAGGCTGGAGTGGAGTGGCGCGATCTCGGCTAATGGCAACCTCCGTGCCCTGGGTTCAAGCAATTCTCCTGTCTCAGCCTCTCGAGTAGCTGGGATTACATGTGTGCGCCGCCACACCGGGCTAATTTTTTGTATGTTAGTGGAGATGGGGTTTTGCCACCGTGTTGGCCAGGCTGGTCTCAAACTCCTGAGTTCATACCATCCACCCGCCTCGGCCTCCCAAAGTGCTAGAATTGCAGGCGTCCCATATCTTATTGAATAAGTCTCTTAGTCATGAGAAGAGTTTTGTCCAGTTAGGCAGTTGTATCTCATTTTAGGAGGTGATGTTGTAGGTGGTCCTTCAACCAGGTTAGGCCTCTATAAGGTGTGGCCAATCAGTATTTAATAAGAGGCATTTCTATGGAAACGAAAGAAAAGTAAAGGTTAATGGTTGGAGCAAATTATACAAGCCCAGTTTTTGAGTCCAGAGGACAGTCCGTTGAGATTTCTAGATGTTGGGCTTGAAGTATCTTTAGATAGTGGAATAAGAAGTCGTGGCAATTTTGATGAATTTCCTGTTGCGTGGTTTACATCAAGTGTTCTGGTGAACTTTCTGAGCACCCCATATACTCACGGGCATGAAAATTGTCCATAGGTAAGTTGTTATTGTTACCGAAACACCTGAGGATGGGTCTGGGTCCTGCTGCTTGACACACAGAAGGTCAAGCACTGAGACATTGAGTATTTCCAGGGAAATGTAGGGGTATATATAGCAGGGAGGAAATGTAACCATGTGTAGGAATACAGGAATTAGAGAGTGATGATAAGAAACCTAACCATGTGTGGAAAAAGAGGAATTAGAGAGGAGTAAAGAGAAGTTAGTCAACGGGAACCACCTGACTGGCTAGGCAATCACAGTGGATGAGGAGTCTGGCATCTCACTGTTCAAATGCAATGATTTCAGGAAGTTTCAGTTCCTTGATACTGTCTGGGAGGCTTGTTGGTGGGTTTTCTGAGAAAGGAAGTTAGATAAGACTAATATAACTTTCTAAAGTGTTAACACTGGGGGGATCAATTTCTATGATTTTTCAAATAAACCGTAAACATCGATTCTGTGAGACAGTTGGGTCTGTTTCAGTCCCTCATTTCTACTTATTAATTCCTCAATCCTGGGGAACCTGACTCTGGATCTTTCTGGCTGCTTCACACTGAGGTGAGGCGTTGTGGGCAGCTTAATACCATGGGTGACCTCGTGGCCACTCAGGAATCACAGGTTAATCTAATCCTACAGTTTTCTTCTGAAATACAATCTTCCTCTCTCCATCCCCCACTTCCACCAAAGATGAATTGTAGCAAGATCATCTCTTATTAATATTACACAAACATTTTGTTCAAAAGAAACAAAGTTTTTACCCTTGTATGGTGTATTATTGTTAAAATTCATTTTAATAAACGCTTAGAAACTAATCTAATTTTAATTAGTTTGAACATAATGTAAGATTTTCATAAACTTTCTATAATGTTTTACAATTTTCTATTAAAGAGCAAATCAATATTCCAAGGAAACCCTGTTATTCTGACACAGGGGCCCAGATGCTGGCCTTGCATCAGTGTGCTTTGAATATTAACGCTTAATTTGTAGAAAAACTCCGAACTTATTTTATCTCTCAGAATCAGTCCTTACAATCTCACGTGCCCATCTCTTCCAAAATAGTCCCTGGGCCTAAAGGGATTGAATAGTTTTAATTTCTTGCCCTGTGTCTCATGAAGGCACTTCATTTTGATTGTCACCTTCTCCTGGGTCTGAAGATGAAGCTTTGAGTGGTGCCAATGTTCAGGATTAAGCAAGAGTTGGCCAGGCACGGTGGCTCACGCCTGTAATCCCAGCACTTTGGGAGGCTGAGGCGGGCGGATAACAAAGTCAGGAGATCGAGACCATCCTGACTAACATGGTGAAACCCCATCTCTACTAAAAATACAAAACCAAAAAATTATCTGGGTGTGGTGGCAGGCACCTGCAGTCCCAGCTACTCAGGAGGCTGAGGCAGGAGAATGGTGTGAACATGGGAGGCAGAGCTTGCAGTGAGCCAAGATCACACCACTGCACTCCAGCCTGGGTGACAAAGCGAGACTCTGTCCCCCCTCCCCACCCCCCCAAAAAAAAAAAAAAAGATTAAGCAAGCAAGAGTCGGTGCCTTTTTCAGACCCAGGAGTCAAAGTCCTTTAACTTGACAGCCCAGGATTGGTTAACAGGATTTTACACTACAGGAAGTCCTAGCATTCTCTCTAACATGTCACAGATTAACCATGTCCAGTAGTTACTGCCTGCAGCACTTCAAACCATTATATTAAAGTGGTTAGGTTACTTATTGCACATGTCTAATTGCAACAATCTAGTGACAGAACTATGTCCGAAAGCATCAAAAATGTGATAGATTTTATGCCAAACTTACCAAAGTAAGACAACTAACTTTCCTCTCCATCATTTTTTAAAAAAGGTAAATGCAGCCAGGCATGGTGGCTTACGCCTGTAATCACACTTTGGGATTATACTTTGGGAGGTCAAGGCAGGTGGATCACCTGAGGTCACAGCTTTGAGATCAGCCTGGCCAACATGGTGAAACCCTGTCTCTACTGAAAATACAAAAATTAGCTGGGTGTGGTGGTGCGTGCCTTTACTCCCAGCTACTTGGTAGGCTGAGGCAGGAGAACCTCTTGAACCCAGGAGGCAGAGGTTGCAGTGAACTGAGACTGTGCCACTGCACTCAAGCCTGGGTGAAAGAGCAAGACTCTGTCTCAAAAATACAAACAAAAAAATAACGTAAATGTGGATATCAGTTTTCGAAATTCAGCATAGGCATAATCTCCTTTCACTTAAATACTGTAAAAGAAAACAGGGACAGAGTCAAGAACAAGCATAGAATAATTTCAACTATTTCAAAAGAGCGTCATCACACCTTTCCAAGATTGTTAATCTAGACAACTGCTTAGGTAAGTTTCACTGCTACAGCCTTCAAACCGGTGCAACACTTGTACGTATTTTATTTTCAAGTACACACATGAAGGCCTAAACGTAATAAAAGGGTTGGAATAAAAAATTAGTAGAAAGTTGGCTGCGCACAGTGGCTCATGCCTGTAATCCCAGCATTTTGGGAGGCTGAGGCAGGTGGATCACCTGAGGTCAAGAGTTCAAGACCAACCTGGCCAATATGGCAAAACCCTATCTCTACTAAAAATATAAAAATTAGCTGGGCGTGGTGGCAGGTGCCTGTAATCCCAGCTACTCGGGAGGCTGAGGCAGGAAAATCACTTGAACCAGGGAGGCAGAGGTTGCAGTGAGCCGAGATCGCACCATTGCACTCCAACCTGGGCGACATGATCTCCAACCTGGGCGATAAGAGTGAAACTCCGTCTCAAAAAAATGGTTTCTTCCGACGTTGTCTGCAGGTACTTCAGAATGGTCTGAAGGTGGTCCAGCGTTTGACATACCGACGTAGGCTTTCCTACAATACAGCCTCTAACAAAACTAGGCTGTCCCGAACCCCTGGTAATAGAATTGTTTACCTTTATACCAAGAAGGTTGGGAAAGCACCAAAATCTGCATGTGGTGTGTGCCCAGGCAGACTTCGAGGGGTTCGTGCTGTAAGACCTAAAGTTCTTATGAGATTGTCCAAAACAAAGAAACATGTCAGCAGGGCCTATGGTGGTTCCATGTGTGCTAAATGTGTTCGTGACAGGATCAAGCGTGCTTTCCTTATCGAGGAGCAGAAAATTGTTGTGAAAGTGTTGAAGGCACAAGCACAGAGTCAGAAAGCTAAATAAAAAAATGAAACTTTTTTGAGTAATAAAAATGAAAAGAGTTGCTGTAAAAAAAAAAAAAAAGAAGCCGGGCGCGGTGGCTCACGCCTGTAATCCCAGCACTTTGGGAGGCCGAGGCGGGCGGATCACAAGGTCAGGAGATCGAGACCATGGTGAAACCTCGTCTCTTCTAAAAATAGAAAAAATTAGCCGGGCGCAGTGGCGGGCGCCTGTAGTCCCAGCTACTCGGGAGGCTGAGGCAGGAGAATGGCGTGAACCCGGGAGGCGGAGCTTGCAGTGAGCCGAGATTGCGCCACTGCACTCCAGCCTGGGCGACAGAGCGAGACTCCGTCTCAAAAAAAAAAAAAAAAAAAAAAAAGAAAGAAAGAAAAGTCTCATTTTTAAAATTACTACTTAACCCAGGTGAATGTCACTTAGTTTTAATAATGGTAAACACAACTAAAGCAATTTTAGAGAAATCCTAGTCAATATAAATTTCTTAAGGGCAAGGCCAATCTTTCCTGAATATTAAAACTTTGTACCCGTATCACAGTTTTTCTTCATTGCCTAAAGAAAAGGATCTGAAACCAACTTAAATTATTGATTGAATTGAATTTCCGTGAAAAGAAATGCCATTTAAACATTTCTCCTCTCACTTGCTTTTCCAGATAACAAAATCAATAATGTTCTTTTTCTGCTGGACTTTTAAGCCTTTATTTTTATTTTTTTTTTACCAGGAAACTTAAAGTTCTTGTAGCTCTCCAGATCGTCAGAGCTAAGCAAAACCAATCCAATTTTAAATGGCTGGTATGAGCTCTCAATTTTTGCAGGTTTGACAAAGGTAGCTTAGGAAGTTTAGGTAAATAGAGCAAATGATAAACGGTTGGAAATGCACAGGAAACAAAATGGCTGTTCATAGAACCAAATACAAGCCTTCCATTAGAAACTAAAATACGGCCAGCCATGGTGGCTTATGCCTGTAATCCCAGCACTTTGGGAGGCCGAGGTGAATGGATCATGAGGTCAAGAGAACGAGACCATCCTGGCCAACATGATGAAACTCCATCTCTACTAAAAATACGAAAATTAGCCAGGTGTGGTGGTGGGCACCTGTAGTCCCAGCTACTTGGGAGGCTGAGGCAGGGGAATCACTTAAACCCGGGAGGTTGCATTGAGCTAAGATCACGCCACTGCACTCCAGCCTGGTGACAGAGCAAGACTCCATCTCAAAAAAAAAAAAACCAAACAAACAATAACAACAACAACAACAACAATGGACTTATAATTGTATGTATAAGCCAAATCCCAATGAAAACAAACAGCAGATAAATGTAAATTAAAAGCAAAAACAAATAAGCAGGACACCAACCCCCAATTTTTTTTCCTACTCAGTTGTCTTGGAGGCTACCATGTTACCCAGGGCCTAAGGAAAAAAAAAAAAAAATGAATATTTCATTTCTGGTATATGAATTAATGTCTTTAAGTCCACCAATCCCACTGTATATTTTGTGCAATTAAGAAATTCACTTTAGGCATGTGACAAGTAAGTACTTTATTGCTAGTACTATCTCTGCAGAAGAGCAATACAGTGTGAAACAAAGCTACGCAAGCGTGGGTGTGAAATGTGGCCCCTTGTTTAAATATGACTTCATGATGAACAATATTAAAGAAGAATTGGCAAACTGCCAGTGTATTTCTTTACAATACTTCTTATTTTACCTTCATCAAGACTAAGAGCTTTTAACCACGAGCAATGTCAATTAGCCAAATGTTTCAATTTTCTATCAGATTTTAAAGAATATTTTACAATGTACTTACATGGATCATTGATGACATGCTAGAACTTTCTGTTTTGTCCTAAACTGTCTGTCTTTGTTTTAATAATCATCCAATTTATATTAGAATATGTTCCTATATTCATCATGTAAGACTTTTTCTCATACAAAGTTATTCTCTTTTCTTTCTAACCTTCATTACCAAAAATACATCTTAACCATAATTTTTTTCTTTTTTTTTTTGTTAGAGATGAGCTTTTGCCACATCACTCAGGCTGATTGATCTTGAACTCCTAAGGTTGCGGTTCACTTGCGTCAGCCTCCCACAGTGCTGGGTTTACAGGCGTGAGGCACCACGCCTGGCCATAAATCCATAACTTACTTTACATCTTTCTCCTCTTCTTACTGGTTTCTTTCTACCTTGTTTCATAAATAACCTTTGCAAGTCCATAAACAGAATTAACCTTTAGATAACTTCTGAATTAGACAAATTTATTCTTTTTCTTAATAAGAACCCATCTTCTTTGGCAAATCTTATGTACAGAATTATACACAAACTACAATTGTTATCCTTAGTAACTTTAAATTTTAGTGAAAACTAGGAAGCAAAAAGTCCTGAACTGTCTATCAAGAGAAAATACTAGCATTTTCTAGATGGGCTTTCCATAAGGAGGAACAGTCAGACTGCAGGGTTTTCTTTCCCTTTCTCGTAATCAGCCTAAGAAACAATATTTTACATTTTATCAAAATAATTCCCAGTCAGGTGCAGTGGCTCATGCCTGTAATCCCAGCACTTTGGGAGGCCAAGGTGGGTGGATTGCTTGAGCCCAATAGTTCAAGATCAGCCTGGGTAATATGGCAAAACCTTATAGCTACAAAAAATACCAAAAAGAAAAAATTAGGCCAGGCACGGTGGCCCAGACCTGTAATCCCAGCACTTTGGGAGGCCAAGGTGGGTGGATCACGAGGTCAAGAGATCAAGACCATCCTGGCCAACATGGTGAAACCCCATCTACTAAAAATACAAAAATTAGCTAGGCGTGGTGGCACGTGCCTGTAATCCCAGCTACTTGGGAGGCTGAGGCAGGAGAATCACTTGAACCAGGGAGGCGGAGGTTGTAGTGAGCCAAGATCGCGCCACTGCACTCCAGCCTGGTGAGAGAGTGAGACTCCATCTCAAAATAAATAAATAAATAAATAAAATTTTTTAAAAAATTAGCTGGGCATGGTGGCACATGCTTGTAGTCCCAGCTACTCAGGAGGCTAATGTGGGAGAATCACCTGATCCCAGGGAGGTGGAGGCTGCAGTGAGCCATGATCACACCATTGCACTCCAGCCTGGGCTACAGAGCAAGACCCTGTCTCAAAATAATAATAATAGCAATAATAATAATAACTCATTTGTTGCCTTTATTAGGTATTTAATTGCTTAGAAAAACTGAGATCTAAAAGGTTTTTTACATTCACCTAACCTTCTGTAGTGCTTTTTTTTTGAGACAGGGTCTCAACCTGTCACCCAGGCTGGAGAGCAATGGCCTGATCTCAGGTCACTGCAACCTCTACCTTCTGGGTTCAAGTGATTCTCCTGCCTCAGCCTCCCAAGTAGCTGGGATTACATGCACCTGCCATCACGCCCAGCTAATTTTGTATTTTTAGTAGAGATGGGGTTTCACCATGTTGACCAGGCTGGTCTCAAACCCATGACCTCAGGTGATCTACCCACCTCGGCCTCCCAAAGTGCTGGGATAATAGATGTGAGTCACTGCGCTCAGCCTGTTTTGTCCTTTTAGCAGAGAAATTCAAATTCTAGTTTTGTGTCAGTTCACTCTCAGTATTTAGGCTCATTTTTTAAAGTAATATAATAAATTCATTCAGTTTAATCAACTTGAGCACATAGGATTCTCTCTTGTTTTCTCTCTTTCAGCTTTTTATTTCTGCTGTGATTTGCATGTGCCCCCCAAAGTTCATGTGTTGGAAACTTAATTCTGAATGCAACAGTGGGGGGAGGTGAGACCTTTAAGGGATGATTGGATTATGAGGGTACTTCTCACATGAATGGATTAATACATTATTGTGGAAGTGGGTTCGTTATTGCAGGAGTAGATTTGTTATAAAAGTGAGTTTGGCCCCCTCTTGCATGTTTTCCCTTCCTCTCATGCATGCCCTCTTGTCCTTCCACCTTTCACCAGGTGATGAGGCCACAAGAAGGCCCTTGCCAAATAGGGGCCCCTTGACCTTGGATTTCCAAGCCTCCAGAGCAGTAAAAAATAAATCTCCATATTTAACTAAATCACCCAGTCTCAGGTGTTCTGTCATAGTAGCACAAATCAGACTGAGACAATATCCATTCAGTTTGATCTGTTATTTATTGATTCATTTTGAAACAACCTTTGAATAACTTCCAAACTAAAACAATATTATTTTTTATTTTAGCAAAAACCCATCTTTTCTGTCTCATAGTTTTTTTGTTTATTCATTTTTGTTTTTTTAGAAAGAGTCTTGCTTTGTTGCCCAGGCTGGAGTGCGTGGTGCGATCTTGGCTCACTGCAACCTCCACCTCTTGAGTTCAAGCGATTCTCCCACCTCAGCCTCCGGAGTAGCTGGGGTTACAGGCACCCGCCACCATGCCTGGCTAATTTTTGTATTTTTAGTAGAGACATGGTTTCAACATGTTGGCCAAGCTGGTCTTGAGCTCCTGAGCTCAGGTGATCCACTGCCTCAGCTTCCCAAAGTGCTGAGATTATAGGCATGAGCCACCATGCCTGGCCAGTATATGGTTGTTTATAAGTGTGTGACACCTTCCCCTCTCTCTCTACCTCCTGCTCTGGTCATGTGAGACAGCTCACTCCCCCTTTGCCTTCTGCCATGATTGGAGGCTTCCTGAGGCCTCCTAGCAGCAGAAGCCTCCATGCTTCCTGTACAGTTTGCAGAAGTGTGAGCTAATTAACTTATTTTCTTTATAAATTACTCAGGCTCAGGTATTTCTTTATAGCAATGCAAAACAAACTAATACAGTGACTCTGTTATAAAAGCCTGTTTGCCTCTCAGTGTGTCCCCTCGCCCTATAATGTCCTGCACCAACTTGGGACTCTGTAGAGACACTTTGTATTAGTTTGTTCTTGCATTGCTATAAATTAATACCAGACACTGGGTGATTTATAAAGAGGAAGAGGTTTATTTGGCTCACAGGTCCACAAGCTGTACAGGACGCATGATGCTGGCATCTGCTTGGCAAATAGGAAAGCCTCAGGAAAGTTACAATCACGGCAGAAGGCAAAGGGAGAGACAGCACTTCACATGGCCAGAGCA